GGAAAGAAGGAAAGAAGGAAAGAAGGAAAGAAGGAAAGAAGGAAAGAAGGAAAGAAGGAAAGAAGGAAAGAAGGAAAATAGCAATAGCACTTAGACTTATATCCCACTTCACAGTGCTTTACAGTCTCTCTCTCTAAGCGGTTTACAGAGTCAGCCTCTTGCCCCCAACAACATTTGGGTGCAGCATAAGTGGCTGGGGAATTCTGGGAGTCGAAGTCCACCCATCTTAAGCTAAGGTTGACAAAACACTGATTTCGGGTTTTTGGGGAATTGCCAAACTGCTCGGAGTTCTCTTTGGATAGACTTACGAAGTACGTTTCTTAAACCCCAACCCTTTTCTGATAAGGATAGTTTAAATCAGGGGTGTCAAACCTGATTTCATTGAGGGCCGCATCAGGGTTGTGTTTGACCTCAGGGGGCCTGGAGTGGGCGTATTCAGGGTGGATGTGGCCAGCTCATCATCACTCCTGTAAGTAGCCCAAGCGCGCTGCTCCGTTTTCAGCTGCGACGGCCTCCTGCAGCCCTCGGCCAGAGAAAACGGAGCAGAGCTCTCAGGCTGCTACTGGCGCCATTTTTGCTGGCAGAGGCAGCTCGAGCCAGTCCTTCCAGGGCGGCCCCATGAGCCAGATTTAAGCCCCTGGCAGGCCAGATCTGGCCCCCGGGCCTTGAGTTTGACACCCCTGGTTTAAGTCTTCTTGTGCGTGCAACGACTACAATCCATTTTTCATATTGGCAAAGAGTTGCAACCGGGCTGAGCAGCTGCCTCCTTTAGAAAACTTTCTGCCCCAAAGTGGAGGTGAAGGGACCCACAATATCTGGGGTGGAGGGGGCAACAAATTGGGTATATTAGGGCTCACAGGCAAATGCCTCAAAATTTCATCAGTTTTGGACCTTCTGCGTCCCAGTGGGACCTTCTGCTTGGACCAGTGGTGGGTTTCAAAAAAATTTCAAACCTACTCTGTGGGTGTGGCCTCCTTTGTGGGAGTGGCTTGCCGGCCATGTGACCTGGTGGGAATGGCTTGCCGGCCATGTGTTCTCTCTCTCTCTGTCTCTCTCTGTCTCTGTCTCTGTCTCTCTCTCTCTCTCTCTCTCTCTCTC